CTCAGTGAAGTGGCGGCTGCCCTGTGCCCTCTTCCCTTCCCTGTGAGCCTTGTTTCTGGGTTCGCACTGTACATGCCCAGCCAGCATGTAGCCTTCTGCACACGCTCAGTCTGTGTGCGCCCACTTGCACATCACAGAGGTAGGGCAAAAAGCAACAAGGTAAAGAGCTACAGGACTGCCATTTAGGTGCCTAAAGGGAAACACAGTTCTGCCTTTAGAACTAGACTGCAACACACCGTGCAAGTGCAAAGGAATAAGGATTCCCCCTTGCAACCCTATGCTGCCTACTCAGACCACAGGATCAAGCACACAGGATTAACCATTCTTTCTCTTCCCAGACCATGGATGTGGGGCATAACAGGCAGAAAATGTGTGGAGTCTCATCTCCACCTCACTCTCTTATTGGACTCCCAGGAAGTGTGCTGGAAACTACCTTTCACAAGCTGGGCATGGCTTCTAAGCCATAATGCCTCCCAAGGTTACTGCTGAAGTGCTATTGCTGACACTTCTGCTTGTCCAACACCTTTACCCAAAGTCTGAATCTAACCCATAATAAGCTGTTTTATACACCAGAATAATCTTGGGTTCTTTTTCCCAGTGAAAGTTATGCACATTTAGATTTCTCCTGCAGTGCAGTAAAAAATTTGTTCTGTGTTGCACTTTAAGGTTGGATTTAAACCTGCGGGAGGCATTCGTACTGCGAAGGATGCTCTTACCTGGCTAATGCTGATGAAGGAGGAACTAGGGGACGAGTGGCTAAAACCCAAACTCTTTCGTCTCGGTGCCAGTAGTTTGCTGGCAGACATTGAGAGACAGGTTAGTAATATAAGCAATTTCCATCTTAGTGGAGAAAAAAAGGCTTTCCTTGTGTGTTTGTTTATTCCTTTCCAGAAACATTTTTCAGGCCATTTTAAGGATAACGGAACATGTTTCTAACTAAGGATTGACTACAGTTTTGCTTCTGTATGAGCTTTCTTAAAATATGTCCCTGGTGTTTTGGGGAGTGATTAGAAAGTTTCAGCATCCCTGTTAACCTAGGAACAAGCTGGGCCATGCTAACAGTGCTGAGCAGAGGGAATCTGATCTTGTGGCTTTCAACCACTAGGAGTCACTCTGCTGCTGCTGTTCACTGCAGCCAGGTCATGCTTATTTTTCAGCTGGAAAAAGGGACATGGGTATAAAAAGGTTATTTCTGCTGGGAGGGGGAAAATCACTAATCACTGGAGGCAGCACGGCTGCCTGCCATACTGCTGATAGAAGAGGGAGCCTTCTGCAATATTAGCATCAGTACACAGAGTAGAAAGTTTTGTCACCTTCTGTCAAGCACCGGTGAAAGAAGGGCGTTCTAACACTCATCCTGGTGTATTCTTATATGCTTCAGTGAACTAAATCATTGGAGTGCAATGTGTGCAAAAGGGGTCTGTGTATCCCCAGGTATCTTGTGCCACAGTTAAAAACAAGCAGTTAAAACCCTTTGGGCCTGCCAAGTCTGACTACAGTATTTCATTCAAATCAGAAGAATGAGCTCTAGTGTATGTGACTGGACCTACCCAACAAGCAACACCAATGAGAAGCACATTTACAATCCTGTTTGTTGTTGCTTCATGGAGATACCTCTTCTTATACAGCACCAGGGGGAGTAGACCTCCCTTTCTGTAGTTGAGCAGAAAGATGTATGGAAAAAGACACCAACCATCTGCTTCCCCCCCCCCTCCAATTTTTCCCAACTGTTAAATTACTGTGGTACCTTAGAAAAATGGTAGAGATGAAGAAAAACAGAATAATGTTGATAGGCCCATGAAACAAGGGACTAGAGGGGACTACCTTCGTCATCAAGTCCAGTCTTCTGTAAGCACAGACAACCACATACTAGAAGTTAAATCCAAGAAGTTCCAGAAGAACATCCACTCCAGCCACTCCTGCCCCCCACAAGCCACAGGGACCCTATAGTAAACTTAGCATTTTAGTAGGACCTAAACTTCTGAAAACTACACTGTGTCAAAGGAAAGGATCAGAAGAAACTTAAGGGCACTGCCAATGCCTTGGACCTGGCAGTGGCAGGGAATTTGTTGGGTAAAATATATGCAGGGGACTGGCACCATGCTGAAGAGAAAAGCCCCAGTGGTCACTACCAGTCTGATCTAAGGAAAATTTCATCCTGAACCTAGATCTGACCCATTAGTTTTAACCTAAACCTGAGAGCAAGATATATCAGCCAGGTTCCTCAAAATTCTCTCAGTACCCACAGAAGCAGCATTACACTCACTCCCATTTCTGACATCTAACCTTAATATAAACCTCTAAAAGCAAAATAATCCATTCAGTGAAAGAGAAAAAGTGTCTTCCTGACCCCTACAGATGACCAGCACAAGTGAAGCCCTGAAGGGTGACATTAGATGCAGGGCTCCAAGTACTGAAAGCTCAAGAAGGATGATGAGAAGACGACCTAATCCAGAAATGGTAGTGTTTATCATCCAGTCTAGCTCTCCCTACTTACTCACACAAACTAGTTCCCTATAAGCTAACGACATAGCCTCCAAAGCAGAAACTCACCTCAAGAGGATTACAAGCCTACTGCCCCCATGGCAAAAAATGCTCTATCATGTAACCTACCGCCAGGAAGCCACATATCACCTTAAGGCTGTTGTCCAAAACATAGGCCCATGCTATGAGGAAGGCAAGTTGTGTGTACAGTGATCAAGTCTCCTTTCATCTTCCCCTTGGGGATTCCAACAAATTAAACCCTGAAAGCCTCATATCACATACTTTAACTCCAAAATTGTCACAATCATATCAACTAATCTTTCCATGATTTTAAGGAAGATCCACCCAAAACTTGGGTTACTTGCCCTTACTGCCTTGTTCACAAGTTTGTCAGACGATCTGGATTGGTTAAAAACCTTCTTCAGATTTCGAGTCCAACTGTATTTAAGAAAATAAAATGTACCCATTTAATCTTGCTCCAGTATTGCCGTTTAATTTAAATAGCTCTTCTCTTCCTGGTATTTATCTCCCAAGTGCATTTATAACTGAGTGATCATAGTCACTCTCAATCTTTGTTTTCCTAAGTCAAACAAAATAAGCTATTTTAATCACTTCTCTTAAGGTAAATTCCTTACTTCCCTGATAATCATAGTAGCCCTTCTCTGCACCTGTTTCATTTAATTTCTTTTTGAATATAGGTGACTAAAACTGTGCGCACTATTCTAAGTTCTTGTTTATGAACGATGCAATCATACTAACATTTCCTTGTCTCCAGAAGAAAATATACAGTATATGTGTCCTAGAATTACATACACTTTTACACAGCCTCATCGCACTGGCAGTTTATGGGCATCCTGTGTACACCAATACACATAGATTACTCGCTCTGTTTTCCATTGTCCCCAATCTATGATCTCCCAGTTTATAGTGGAAATTCTTGACATTCATACTGATGTGTATAATTTTGCAATTATGTGGTGTTCATTTCATACTATTGTTTTTAATACAGGTCAGTCGCATCATATGCACATTTAACTTGCACGAATTCAACTATACATGGGGTGGGAGGCGGGGCGGGGCTTGAGTCTGCACACGGTGCTGCCGCTTACCTAGAGGCCCATTATGGCAGTGACAGCCACTGCCTCCAAAACCTCCCGCTGCTGCCATGGAGCCGTGCCCGGAGCTGTGTGGCTGGCTGCTGGGCAGCAGCAGCGTGGTGGTGGCTGGGCGGCACGCAGCCATCCCCACCACCACCCCACACTGTGCCACTGCCGCCAGCCGCACAGCAGTAAGCATGGGGCCTCATGCAAACTCAAGCCCTTCCCCCCCTCCCACCCCGCGTATAGTCACCGATTTTTGCCTTACGCGATTTTCACCGTACGCGCTGACTTCAGCACCTAACCCCCGCGTAAAATGCAACTGACCTGTACAAACTATCTAATTTAATCTAATTCTTCCTGTACAATAATCTGATCCTCCACAGCATTGGGAATACTTAATACCTTATTACCTTTTTGTCATTTGAAAACTTATTAAGCAAATACTTTTTGTTTGCATCAAAGTTAAAGAAGGAAAACCAGTAGGAACTACTGTACATGTGTTTTCCTGAAGTGAACACACAGGCAAGGCAGGATGGGTTTTTGCCTTAAATTTAACATGGATCAGAGATGCCAAACTGGTTTGGCATTCTGGGCTAGATCTGGACCACAGGGCTCCACGCAGTTTGGATCTGGATCTGGTGGGGTGAGTTGTAGTGGCAGGGAAATGAAGGGGTTAACACAGCCACCCCTAACCTCACTCACCCCACCACCAAATTCCTGTCCCTCGAGGAGCTCTACAGGCCAGATTATATGGCTCCATATGTTTGACACTCCTGACATGGATGAATGATTTTAGCAGTGATAAAGCAAATAGACTTCCCTTGCCATCACAGCCTAAGTATGATGACAGGATCTCCAGTCAGTTTCACTGGCAGTGGTAATTGGGTGCTTGGGTTTTTGCAGCATGAATCCATGTCCAAAGGAAAACTAACTCCATAGTCATATTCAAACCCTTCTTATGCTACAGCCTGTACAAAGATGTAAGATGAAATAGTCCCTGCTTCAGAGCTTATAACCTCTAAACAACCAAGAATATGGAGACGGTTGGGGGAAAAAAATATAATATTGGTCTTGCAGAGCCCAGGGATGTCAATGAGAGACTTTTCAATGGTTACAATGGGCTTTGGATCAGACTCTATCCATTTTTGTATATGAATCAGTGCTTATCAGTGTCATCCACCTGCTCTCAATGCATCTTTAATTTGATGACTAATGATACTTTTTAAATTTCTAGTTATGTTCGGTACTATCTGAAATTCTCTTTTCCCTTGTAGATTTACCATCATGTGACTGGCAGATATGCAGCCTACCACAACCTCGCAATGGCTTAGACATGAGATTGACTCTAGATTACTTCTGTAAGAGACCTGTAAAAAAAATAATATCCTGAAGTCTTTCCTGAAATGATGTGCATATGAAAAGATTAAAAGGCTAGATTTACCTCTTCGTTTTTTCACAGTATTTCTAAATACACTCATGTCTGCTGGTGGTGCTTGAGTCAACAGAGGAAGTTGAGGAGAGGCAGTTCTGAAAGAGTTAAAGATTCGCAACGGTAATCTTGTAAAATCTCTTTCAGACCAGCCTGAAAAGCTTATTAATAGCAACACTGAAATACTATGAAAAAGATTTAAGTAGTCTGGTAACACTTTCCTGGAGCAGAATATGAAGTATCTGTGGAGTGTTACAGATCACTAATTAAGAGCTACAGATCTTGCTCTGGTTTTCCATTTAAACTGGTCTGCAGTTTTTGCCACAGATATGTTGCTGTATTAATTGTTATGTTGATTAAATTTCAGGCAGTGTAATGTAAAAACATGAAATGTGGCTATTACTCTCTTCTACAAAAAAATGTCTTTGTAGCTAAAACCAATTTTTTCAAACTTGAGTACCAACCAGTTAGGTGCCTACATCTATATTTAGACCTCCAGAATAAAAGGGGCTTGATTTCCATGATAGCTGAGCATCTATGGTTGCTTCTGAAGTTAGTACTCTGGTGAATCGGAACAAATGAAAACCAGAGAATGTGTACTTAAGTTCCTAAATATGTATTCAACTGCCTGTTTTTAGGCTTTTTGTTTTGAAATGTTTTCCTACTCTGCCGGGAAAAAATACATACCTTTTTAAACATGTTAATATTTTAAAGTGTCAGTTTCTAAATGCTGCCACTGTAGAAGATCTCACAAGCTGAATTCCAACTTTGCCTTTGTTTAAACTTTTGACATTGAAAAAAAGTGATTTTTTCAATGTTGGTGTCAACTCCCCCATTTTGTATACAGGATTATTTAAATTAACAGCACACTACAAATAATATCCAAATCATTGCAGCCCTTCTGATGAGCAGACAACAGTAAGTTTAATGCATTATTTAATTACTGAAGTGTAGTATGTAAGTAGAAAGGTGCTAACCTTATCATCTTGAGTAGTTCCACTGGCTTCACTGGAGCTAATCAGGTGCATGCGATGAGAAGTATTAGTCAGATGCTGTCAGAATATTTTTATTATGGTTTCAAGGAGATCCTTAGAACTTAAAAGATCAAAATATGGTTTATATACATATCTATCCCAAAGTGCTACCAGAGTCTTATGTGTTTAGACTAGCATAATGCTGTTGGACAAATGGAAAAGCTGAATAGTAGCGGAAAATGGACTACCGTATATGCAGAGAACCCAACAGATGCAGTAACACATATCTTAAGTTTATTTCTTAAAATGGCAATCCAGGCAATCCATTTCAGGGTCGTTTGGGTTTTTCTGGTCAATTCCTGAGATACACAAGACTCAGCCTCCCTGACTGAGCTGTATGGCCACATTTTTATACATTGTTTTCAAAATGAAGGCGATCCTTTTAAATCAGTTTCCCTTGAGCTTCACTGAAAGTCTTCCTGAAGGAAAATTCCAATCCTTGGTTGTCCTTTTGTAGCCAAACTCTCCTGCTGACCTGAGAGCCCATGAAATGGAGGCGAAGCAAATATACTGCCATTGAAATAATTTTCCATGGGATATCTGGCAGACTCATGACCTCTGCAGTAAGTATTCAATTCACTTAATCTTTCAATTGCTAAAGCATAGCCATGCAAGAGTAACCTTAAAAATGTTTATGGCATATGTTTGCATATCTGTACCAATCCAAATGGACACATATTGAGTAGAAAAAAAATAGCTACATTCCCAATTAAGGTAGAAAAAATTAGCTACGTTCCCAGTTTTCTGGCCCCCAATTTTTTTGGTTGTCTTTCAGAACATGTACAGCACCTGGACTTACAGCACTCTAGCTTTCATAGTTGAAGGGTGTAGTTATTATTAAAGAACCATATCCTGTTACCCTAACTACTCAACATATGAAAGATCAAATAGATTTCAGAGAAACTGTTAATAAAATCATGCTCTGCATAGGTAGGTACCAAACACAGCTGTGTACACATGTGCCAGTAGACCCCTATGAGCCTATAAACCTGTACCTTCCAGGACTTATTTTAGTTATATAATGGGAGCCTGTTCATCTGTTAGAGCCAGGTGTGGCCAACCTGTGGCATGTATGCCACAAGTGACATGGCCAGTCTATGTGTGGGACATGACAGATCAGGGAAGGACCAGAGAACATAAAGCAGAGCAACAAACAGATTACATAGAGAGCACAGGACTGGGAGACGCAAGCAAAGCAACCAATGGGACCAGAAACACACAGTACAGGGCAGAAAGCACAGCAGCAGATTTGAGCAGGGAAAGGGGATTGGAGTGGTACTCAAGGAGGGTATGGAGCTTACTTTGTTGCATGCCTGCCAAAATGGTTCCCCCCCCCCATTGTATTAGACACAACTAGATTTAAATGCATTTCAAGTCTTTTGACCAACCCATTGCCCCTCATACATCTCATAAGTTACTGCCAAATGACCTAGTTAAAACACTGTGAAATTGCTGGACACCCAATGATTAAAATTATCTTACCACATTTTAAATCGTTCTGTTTTGAAATTTGTGATATTCTGAAAAAAGTGAATTAAACTAAAAATGTTTAAAAGAAAAAACCCTAGTGCTTTGTTTTTAATAATAAATATTCTGCTCAGCATTATACAGGACTGGAAGTAATTTCAGTGTTACGCTACGGGGCCTAAATATGCACTGTCGTCCTCCTACCAGTCCACCGTCCCTTGATTCCTCAGCTTCCCCATTTTCTGACAGCTACTTGAAGGACTTTAACTTACTTTGTCACATAAGGCCCAGAGGAGGAGAAGCCCAAGTCTGGGTTCTTGTGATGGTATCAACTGTTGCAGGAGAAACCCTCAGAACAAGTAGAGTAAATGGAGATAGGCCTGAGCTGCCACATGCTGAGCTAACATGACTCTATATACCAAGCATTCAAGGTTATGGTTCTGCCCATTAGAATGGAGGTAGGTGCTTATACAATTCATATCAGAAGTAACCTTATGTGATGCAAGGTTCAAATCTATCCACCATTATTTTTAAGTTATTGACTGGAGAGCTAAGTATATTTTAAGTATATTTTAAGGCATTTTTTTTTTTAAAGAAACAAGGTCTTTCAACTTTCAAGTGGAAGACTGTAGACAAAACTCAGAAAATTCTTTGTATGCCTATATGGAGGGAACAAAACAAAAACGGTATCTGAGTATTTTTTTTAGTTTTGTTTTTTTTTTTATATATATACTATGGGAGAGAGGAGGAGCTTTAATAAGGCTTACATCCAGAGCATACATTTCAAAACATGTATATGAGATGTATTGGTAACCATGTTGGTCTGAGACAAAAAGAAATGTGGAAGTCTAGAACTCTTGGGTCAGAGATGATACCTTTTAATAGACTGTAACAGGGGGCCTTCTTGGGGCCCATCTTCTGACGGCCCCGCCCACCTGTTCTGGGCCAACCGCCCGCCTTCTCGTCTGCCATGCCTTGTTGTTATCTAATTAAGTTGTTAACTAGGCAGGAGGCTGCCCATTTCTTGCCCCGATGCCAGGGGGCGCTATCTGTGGCTCCATTCCTCCCCTAAACCACAGCTTAAGCCTTGCAGCTGGCATCCACAGTTGTTAACATCACCAGCCCCACTCTGGGCCCCAGAATCCTCTAGTCCAGACCCCATCTGGATCCCTTCACTCAGGTGGCCTACTCTGCCTTCATTCTAGGCTACCTAGCTTCCTGAGCTGTTTCCCCTTATGGGTGTGGCCCCCCAGGACCTTTGGCTACATAGGCCCTGGCCTCACCTCCAGGCTAGTCAGAACCCCAGGCCCCTATCTTTGGGCGTCCGTCGTGGTGTGACCCAGGCCCTTTGACCCTTCCGGTCCTGGCCTCAGTTGAGGGATTTCAAGACAGGTTTCCAAGTCTGTAGCCCCACTCTCACTCCTGGACTGCCTTCTGAACCCTACTAGTGGGTAACCCACCTGGTTGTGGGAGCTGGGGTTATTAAGGCATCCCGACCCGCCTTTCACCGGGGTGGTAACTGGCCTGGCATTTCCTGGGAGTTCCCATGTCACTGAGAGCCCCACCAGGCAACCCACTCCCTGCAGGGTGCAGTTTTAGGTCATACCCAGGACCAGGAGCCTCCAAGCCATCCCCTACAGTTCCTGCCCTTACCTCCAGGATGATACATGAAGCCTTGCAGCCAGGCATTGTTGCTGCCTCCTCTGCCAGCAGCAAAATGCTCTGTTTATATAGGCAGCCAAAGATCTAAAATGGCCACTGCAATCAAGCACTGCTGGCTGCTTGGCTCAGGTCTTAAAGTGGCAGGCACCAATAATGCCCTGCCACATAGACCAACTAGGAAATTGCCAAAAAATTATCTTTTTCTGCAAGCTTTCAGGCTCAAAAACCCTTCATCATTAATTTTCCCTGAGCCTGATGAAGGGCATTTAAGCCCAAAAGCTTGCAGAAAAAGATGATTTTTTGGCAATTTCCTAGTTGGTCTAATAAAAGGTATCATCTCTGAACCAAGAGTACTAGATTTTTGCAAATGGTGTAAATTGCACTTTGATAGCTACAGTGCATCTATAGCAAAATAAATCACTTTCTGAAGGAGACGCAAGAACTTTATATTGTAAAACAAAGCACTGAGAAAGGACAACATGATCTACTTTTAATTTTATTTATTCTGTGGGAACTTTGGCTTTTTGTCTCCCAGGATAAAAATCATCATGTTTTATCCAAATTTGATGGTGCTTTATTGAAATAACCAGGGATAACATCTGGATGATATTGAAAATATGTAGTGGGGGTGGGCAGAGGGAATGATTTTTAATTAGATTCAACCTGTCCAGGAGGAAGAGACAGAAGAATGTCCATCTGGTCAATTCCTATTTAATAGGGCGACTCAGAATGAGAACATTCTTACGTTACAAAGATATAGTATGTAAAATGCCCAGTGACCATTGGCAGTAAAAGCTTAGATAGTCTAAACTGCTGTAGGACTTCTAAAGAGAAACTTAAAGGGAGCC